AAAAAGATTGTGACTCACTGAAGGCTCAGATGATGGTTAGCATTTTTTAGCAATAAAGTATTTTTTAGTTAAGGTAAGTACATTGTTTTTTAGGACATAATGCTATTGCACACTTAATAGACTTCAGTAAACTTAACTTTCATATGCACTCAGAAACCAAAAATTTGTGATTTACTTTATTGCGATACTTGCTTTGTTGCCGTGGTCTGGAACTGAACCTGCAGTTTCTCTTAAGTATGCCTGTACTGTATTTTATTTTTAATTGTTGGTGTGGTAATGATGTTTTGAAAATAACCTTAACATCTGAATTTGGCTTAGGACTGATAATCTAGGAAGCCACAATACTTCAAAGATAAAGAACAACTGTTCTGTCAAGACATATTTCAAGATAGGCTGGAAAGGTCTCTGTGGTCTCTGTCCCATCCCGTTCCTCACTCCATATCCCAATGAACAGCATCACTTTTCAGACTGATGCATTGTTTTAGCACAGCTACCATTTCTGATTTTTATATTTATGGACATTCTAATTGTTTCACACTTCCCACACTAATTTCAGGGGTAGGTGGTTAATCAAGATTTTTATTTTAGAGGCTTCCTTCCTAAGCTTCTGCAAGTTAGAATGAATAAAGACCTTGCATGTATCAATGAAAGACTTAGTATATATAACAATGCTAATAAAATTTGGAAATAGGTATTTGACTTTCTAATTCAGGATTCTTCCATGGTTCAATCCTTAAGTACTATTTAGCGTAAGTGATTATTAGAGATCCTTCAATACCATCTTAGCTCAGCAGACTGGTTCAGCAACCTCTAAGACTCCCTTTTCCAATCCAGAGGTACTGCATGGAATTCATGCATCCCCCTCCTTCTTCATTGCAAATGTCAGATTTTCCTGAGATCATAAGTGTCCTACTCTACTCTTTCATGCCCTGGGATAAATTCATGAACAAGTCTGCAGTGGCTGGTGACCAGGAAAGAAGAAGGACAGAGAAAGGGAAGTTGTGGCAACTTCTTAAAATAACTCCAAAAGACGCTAATATTATCCCCATTTGTTGGTGAGGAAATGGAGGAAAGAATAGTTACATATTTGCCCAACTTGTCTTCAAAGGAAATTTTTACCATTTCTACTCTTCCTAATGAGAAGCTCTCCTTATATAATGGTTAGGTTCTATAGTACTATTGGGCTTGAACTTTAGTTTAGGTACCTTATAAGTTAAATAGATTTTACTGGCCAAGAACTATACAAATATATTTATTAAGACTTTATGCAATGCAAATAGGAGGAGACAGAAGATAAATCAGACAAGGTTTCTGCCCTGAAGGGACCTCCTAAATTTAACAATCACTATCACCATTTTAATCTCTATAGAAAAGTATGTTCTTATTTTCTAACCTATGACTCACAGATTTTTCTTTTTTTATTGTGCTTTAGGTGAAAGTTTACAGCTTAATTTCTAATACAAAAATTTATACACATATTGTTATGTCACAGTAGTTGCAATCCCTATAATGTGACAGCACACTCCCCCTTTCCACCCCGGGTTTCCCGTGTCCATCCAACCAGCTCCTGTCCTTTCCTGCCTTCTCATCCTGCCTCCAGACAGGAGCGGCCCTTTTGATCTCATCTATCTGCTTGAACTAAGAAGTACATTCTTCAGGAGTATTATTTTATGTTTTATAGTCCAGTCTAATCTTTAACTGAAGACCAGGCTTCGGGAATGGTTTTAGGTCTGGGTTAACAGAGCGTCCGGGGGCCGTGGCTTTGGGAGTTCCTCCAGTCTCAGTCAGACCATGAAGTCTGGTCTTTTTATGTGAATTTGAGTTCTGCTCCACACTTTTCTCCTGCTCCATCAGGGACTCTGTTGTGTTCCCTGTCCAGGTGGTCATTGGTGGTAGCTGGGCACCATCTACTTCTTCTGGTCTCAGGCTGATGGAGTCTACAAACAGATTTCTTGACTATCACTCTACCATCATTCCTTTTGCTAATTTTATAAATGTTAGTGCTATACATCTAATTTGTATTTGACTAATGACTCATTCTGTACCTCTCATCTCTCTTTGTCAGATATGTACAAACTTTGTAGTTCTCTAACTCATACACAGTATATGTAGTTTACTGGCTTTTTTCACTTAAGTAAATTCCTCTGTTCTTAATGCTACTAAATTTCACTAACTCGTATCTCTAAGTTGTCAAAGTCACTTGTAGTTTAATTTAGTTATTCACATAGGCTCAAGTAACTCATTCACACTCCCAAAGGCCCAATCTACAGCCAACCACATCATAACTCTTCTTCAGTTTTAAAGGGTAGAAACAAATTAGTTGTCCACACAATTTGGGATTGCCTGACTATGTAATGAGAGAACTGAACGGCAGGTTTAAAAAAAAAAAATTTCCTTTGAGGTACCTACAACGGGAGAAATAATTGAGAACATACATAAGGGAAAAAAAAAAACAGTTGCCATCGAGTCAATTCTGACTATGGCAACCTCATGTGTGTCAGAGTAGAACTGTGCTCCATAGGGCTTTCAAAGACTGATTTTTGGGGAGTATATTACCAGGGTTTTCTTCTGAGGCACCCCTGGGTGGCATTGAACCACCAACCTTTTGATTACCAATCAAGTGTGTTAACTATTAACACCACCCAGGGACTCATATGTAAGCAGAAAAAAACATTTAATTTCAGTTTTTTATGGAGAAATAAAAAAGTCCAACTTACAAATTTTTTAATTTAAGACCAAGAATTAACCTTTTAAAAATAAACTTTACAGGTATTTTTAAAACTTCAATTCCATATTATAGGCATTTAAAAAGTAAGAATGGAGATGGAGGGAGAAAAGGATTGGGTATGTGAATAAAGACTGGAAAAAAAAAAAAAGCAAGAGGGAAGGGAAGACAGTAAAAAAACTAAGGGAGTTTTGTTTGGCCTTTGGACCTTCCAAATCAAGTATCTATTAGATTCTTTCCCTGCACCATGAATTCAAATGCAACAAAAAACAAATCATTATTACTCCCTTTTCAAATTTTAATTCAATACGTAGAAAAAAATGTGCCCAACCATGGACAGAAAGACAAACATAAGTTGCTTCTGCTGCAAAAACTACCAGCTTGCTGTGTTTGTGTGCATGTATAAACAGGCAGAAAAATTCCTGTCCCTTTTCTCACCTTTTAAATAACAAGTTCTTTTTTCTCTCTCTCTCTCTTTTTTACCCAAGAAAACAGAAAGATAGAGATGAATTTCTCTAAACATATGAATCAGCAGTGATTGATTCCTAGAATAATGAAGGTTACTGAGTCAGTAACCGTTAATATACAGATTTTGTCAACTTTCTATCTGACTGAGACAGAGGGCCCTCCTTCAAAGCAACATGGACCTTGTGGATCCCTCTACCTCTGGCAGTTTAAAAGAAGCCCAGGCTGAGTCTCTACATGAGCTGTTAACCAAACTGAAGTAATTAATTCTCATTCCCAAAGGCCAGATCTACAGCAAACCACATCATAATCATTCTTTGATTTTAAAGAGTACAAACAAAGCCACTGGAAGAAAGGTAGTGGGATGGAGAGACGGCATGGTAGGAGCAGCATGTGGAGCAGCACTGTCACCGAGGTCCTAAAGCAGTTTCCCTGCCTCCTTCTCTATCCTTCCCTGTTTCTCCTGCAAGATACACAAGGATTTCATCTGGGGTAAATAAGGACAGGGATTGACCTGCCAGCTGCCTATTTCACTGACATCAGCTACTGCCTCAGACCAGAGTTTCTGTCCACCCCCACCAAATATAGAAAAGAACACTGACTTCTTCCCCTTTTCCCCTCTCTGGAATAAGCATCAGTTGTTCTGAGGTTTTCTAAGGGTTATTTATTACTGCTGGTCATGATGGAGAAATATAGGAAAACATTACTAACCAAGGGCAAGTTTTAAGAAGTTGCGCAATAACCATTCTCCTGGTATTCAACGAAATATAAATTAAATGGGGCTCTAGACTTTCTCAAGCAAATAAATGCCTCCTCACCAGGACTCTCAGATTGTTTATCCTAAATTGTTCCATGCTAGTCTTCTGCTCCAATTTTCTTCTGCATTTTGTTTTCCTGGAAGGCCTGGGTCTGGGAGTTACTCAGACCTCTGAAGTTGCCTTTTACTCCCGTTTCACTGCAGATGATGGGAACTTGAGTGTGCGTTTTCACTGCTGCTGCCGCTCAACTCTGCCACTTAATAAATGTGTTAAATGATCTTGGAGGAAGTTACATAATCTCTTTAAGCCTCATTTTCCTCTTCTTGAAAAAGAGGGTGCTGTTTTCTACCGAATTATTGGGAGGACTAGTGAGACACCAGTACAATGCCTGGCACACAGCAGGCATTCAATAAATGATGGCTATTATTATGGTCTCATCACCCATTCTGTTACTACCATATACCTAGCCACCAACTGGTGCTGAGGATGCAAGTGCAAAGTGGGGAACCATAGTTGAGGACTGAGCCGCACTTTTCAGACCACACCTCTGACTGCTCGTCTACCCACATGTGAAAAGTTTAAGAGTAGGGAAGCAAGAAACAAAAAGTAAGCTAGGCTTTGGATGCTTCTAAGGCATAATCAGGAGGTTAGGAAAGTCTGAGAAATAAGAAAATGACAGGAGTGTTTTGCTGGCTCTTTATTAAAAAGGAAAACTATTCAGCATAATGCACAAAATAAAAATAATACATAACCCATCTAAATACATAAAAGATGTCTTTCTTGTTTTGAATCCAAAAGAAAGTCATGTAAGAATCAAAATATCATAAGTAAAATACTAAGAAAACAGCAGCATCATTACTATGAGCAACTGAAAATGCCTTCCAGTCCTTTTTCTTAGATTCCTCACCATATCTCCTATTTAAAGCATTACTTTCAGTTAATCCTTAGTTCAAACTGGCAGACCATGTGTACTGAAATGCTCCTTATAAATGGCTATTTTACTTATATCCTGTTTAAAAAGAGATACAAATAAATTCAATGCAGCTCCATACCTTGCAGACATTGCTTCTCTAACATTCACTTGCTGGGCTGATCTCTCCAGGCTAGATCCTTTTGTGTAATACTCTCCTTCCAACTAGCCTGAAATAATATCAGCCAGATCTATTTTCCCCTCCTCTCCAGCTTCTCTGAGTAGCAGAAGCAATAAACTAATGGTAAGTGAAGCTATACTGCACAGTTTTCCCTCTTCATATTGAATCAAGCTTCTTTCAGTTAGTTGTTTGTAAAGTTGCTCATCGCTAATCTCTCACATGTTTCTCTCCCCTAACAATAGGCATGCTGTTTCCCCAACTTGGAAAATTAACATGAACATCTATATTGACCCGGCAGTTGTCGACTACAGTCATTTCCCAGGCAGCCAACTGAAGGCTGTGCACAGAGTTGCTTTTGTTGTGAGAAAAACGGTTTCTCTGAAGTTTATGGTGATGTTGAAGATGTTTTGTACAACCCACGACTCCTGGCACAAATACATGCAAATAAAAGGGCACATTTGTGAGAAGTTATGGAGGACATGGAAAAGAGGGCTAGTCTATTCAATGAGGTAACGGAACTTAATTGTTTCCTCTTCCTCGTTCTAAATTTTAACAAATGAAGTTTTTTAATTTTACCTAAAATTCTAAGAGAAAATGGTTGGTTTTCAAATCCACGTTCTTTTTTCCTTCTGAATTATTGTGAAAACAAATCAAGTAGCTTCTCTTTGAGGCTTGTTAATTATACTCTGATAAAATTAGTATGGCAGTGGACTTGAAATCTCTCTTCCTGAATTAGGAAAAATATTCTAAGGCAAGTGACTGGTTCTTGATAAAACAATCAACATTTATATACTGTACTTTTACCAAGTTAAGAAAAGCAAATAATATTTGTTATTGGGCAGCTCTTCTTCCAGACAGGTAGTAAAACATTAAATTTTCCTTGTCAGAAGAATGGTAGATTCTACTCTTAACCAATTTCCGAGAAAAAGAAAGAGCTATAGCTTAATAATTAGCTGTTCCAGGAAATCCTCTCCTGTACAATAAATTTAATTAAGTCATTGGAAAACCATCCAACTCCAGGAACAGGATACAGATAGCCTGTATTTGTGCCACATGAACAGGCATGATTAAAATGCAAAGTAACTGAACTGTCAGTAACTATTTTCCAAATCTTCAGTCACTGGAAGCAGAAAGCTTATTTCTTCTTTCTGTGCTCATCTTTCAGAGTACAAATAACTGCCTTTCCTTTAACATCAGAATTTGGTACAGAGTTCAGTAATCTTTCATATAAACTGTGCCAAGGTTCTGATTCATTCCTTCTGGCATGCTGACAAGGACAGGAAAGGTAGATGACTAGCAGCAGTTCTCTTCAGCATGGGAAGGGCAGTATGGTGATGAGGGCCACTGAAAACTGTCCTTTCTTTTGTGCATGCACTGAAGTTTGCAATGTGTGGGGTAGTATATATCAAGGATGAAGTCATCCTTATGAAATGTAAGCTCGAGTACATCTCATTCTCAAATACCAGACTACATTAGCAGAGTAATGCTTTTAAAACTAACTTGCTGATTGTATAATTTTGAAATGTTTTCTTATGTCAAAGTCTCCAGAAAAATCAAATACAGGCTCAGAAACATTCTTATTCTAAATTCACTGTCACTTCAGAGCTCTTTCCCATAACAATAAAATATGCACCATGCCTTAATGATTTTTTTTTCCAGCTGTTCGAGGAAATCCTCTCCATATATGCAACTTTTCTTAAGCTTTTTGGGAAAGAATATAACTTTGCCCAGTGCCTAATGGCTGCCTTGAATATCCAGTTGCCATCAAGTCAATTTTAACTCATGGTTACCCTCTGGGTGTCAGAGTAGAACTGTGCTCCATAGGGTTTTCAATGGCTGATTTTTTGGAAGTAGATTTCTGGCCTTTCTTCCAAGGCACCTCTGAGTGCGTTTGAACCTCCAACCTTTCAGTTCACAGCCAAGCATGTTAACTGTTTGCACCACCCAGGGACTCTGCCTTGATTATAGCCTGCAGGATTTGTCTCATTTCTGGGAAGATTATTTTAATAATATTACAAAGAAATCACAAAATCAGCACTCCATTAAGGGTACCTGAAAAAAAACCCGACAGTACCTCCTTAAATGCCTTAATCCTTTGACAAAGGAGCATCAGGTGCTGCACTTTCTAGAAGTTAGGATTCTGTATTAATCTGTCAGCCTCTTCCCTAAGAGTGAGTCATCAGCCTTCTGTAAACTCTAAACACCAGGATTCTGTGAAGTCCTGCTGACTTCTGATAAACAGAAATGCTAGTTTCCATTTCTAACCACTTATCACTTATTTAACTAAACAGAATATCCTTGATATTACTCTGTGTGTGTGTGTGTGTGTGTGTGTGTTCTGCAGGCAATATACTATTCTCAGAGACTGAATGAATGGTAGGTTGGGAATTATCTTTCAATAAATGCCTGACATTAATCTCTTTCGACTTGAAAATGTTTTTAAATTCTATATTAATTGCATAATTTGGGGGAGTATTATTAAACTTCAGATTAATCAAGGCATATAGAATTTTTAAGTTGGAAGGAACTTTGGTGATTTGTTATGGAAACTAGGTTTGTTTCCTGAGGTACTCCTTTAAATTCAAGGGGAAACTTGTTTGAGTGGGTAAACCTGGAAACAGGAAAATAAAACAGGAAATAGCACAACTCCAGAAACAAGAGAAAAGGCCAACACCACTAAGAAGACAGAGAATCAGTTTAATCTTTTTCTTGCTTCATCAAAGAGAAAGTGCTTTGAGATATAATGAATTAGAGAAGAGAAAGAAGAAAAGGACTAGAAGATTTAGAGAAGCTTCTAAAGGAAAAAAGCACAATATCTCTCCTCTTCCCCATCTTCAGCTTTAGTTAAAAATTAAGTATAGTATCAAGGCAAATGTCAAATGCCAAATGAATAACTATACCTGTGTTTCCAATAGCCATGTGTGGCTACTGAGTATTTGAAATGTGACTAGTCCAATTTGAAGACTTGGTACTAAAAAAAAAAAAGTAAAACATCTTATTTAATATTTTTATACTGATTACATGTTGAAATGATAATATTTTGATGTATTAGATTAAATATATTATTAAAATATTAAAATTAATTTCACCTGCTGCTTTTTACTTTTTAAATGTAGCTATAACCAAAAAACCACACTTGGTGCCACCAAGTCGATTCCGAGACATAGCAACCCTATAGGACAGAGCAGATTTGCCCCCCAGGGTTTCCAAGGCTGTACATCTTTTATGGAAGCAGACTGCCACATCTTTCTCCCATGAAGCGGCTGGTGGGTTCACACTGCCAACCTTTCAGTTAGCAGCAGAGTACTGGGGCTCCTTAAATGTAGCTACAGAACATGTAAAATGATATATGTGGCTCACATTGTATTTCTAATAGACAAATCGAGACAAGACAGTAAGTGCCACAAAGCCAGAAAAGGAAGACATCACTGTGTAATGAAAAAGATTCCGTGAGATATCAGGACTTAAAGGAGGGAAAAGATTCAGGAAAAGAGGAAAGTGCATGCCATGCTAGAGGAATCACATTGTATAGATAAATGAGGGAATGTTCTGAAAAAAATTAATCCTCCTGACATGATGTCAGAGAGTATTTAGGTCAGAACAAGCCATAGTCTTGAGTGAAAGACACATCTGACCCCACACATCTACAAAGCCAGCGGAAACCAGGCAGACTGGCTTCTACAATTAGCTGGAAGGCTGCAAAATTTGCAAGACACAAAAAGGAACTTGGTTAGTTTTGTTCACTGCTGAATCCAGTACTCAGAAAAGTGCCAGGGATGTGATAAACTCAAAAAAACCCACTGCCATCAAATCAATTTCAACTTATAGACAGACTAGAACTGTCCCATAGGATTTCCAAGGCTGTAATCTTTACGGAAGCAGACTGCCACATCTTTCTCCAGTGGAGCGGCTGGTGGGTTTGAACCGCTGATCTTTCAGTTAGCAGCCAAGTACTTAACTACTGCACCACCAGGGCTCCTTAGGGATGTGATAGGCATTTAAAATAAATATTTGTTGAGTAAATAAAGGAACAAGTAAGTGAACTTCTGTAGAAAAGGTAGCACTTTCCAGGAAACTGAAGGCAGGGACACTGGAAGGAAGGAGTGCAGAGGGAGAGAGATCAAGGACTGTTAGAGGAGAAAGCACCTATATTAGCACCTGCCAGAGTAGTCTAATTAGGTTTACTTTTTGTATGCTTCAAGGAAATGAAGGGACAAGGTTAGAGCACAAAACCAGTCCCTTCCTCCAGCTCTGCATAATTTTGGATCTATTAATTGAAGACTTGAAGTGAAGAACTAATAAAACTTCCTCATTACCCAAAACGTTATTTAGCTCTGGGGAAAAGCGAGCAAAGCTGTATTTACATGGTTAGGGATGACACCCCTCTTCTAGGGTCATATGCAAGCAGCAGCAGCACCTTCCCTATAGACTATTGGGTGGTCTCGATACAGAGGAAAAGGAAGGTTTTTTTTTTCTTTCTCCTTGTCTTCTCTCCTCCTTCTCCTACAGTATCTAGAAATACACCAGGACACACAGAAGAATTCGGGGTCCACCATAGTTTGATGTCGAAATTGTTAGGTGAAAAACGTGTGTGTGTGTGTGTGTCTCCAAAGTGGGGAAAAAACTAAAATATGGTTATGTCTGGTGGTGGTATTCTTCTTCACTGTCCATATTTTCCATAGTATTACTTTTGTAATAAAGGAAGACAGTAAAACAACATCCACAGAATCCTGAGGGAGAAAAGTTGGGACCCACAAGTTTTTTACCCACTTAAGAACTAATTCACATGTTGTCTTAGTCATCTAGTGCTGCTATAACAGAAATACCACAAGTGGATGGCTTTAAAAAAGAGAAGTTTATTGTCTCACAGTCCAGTAGGCTAGAAGTCCGAACTCAGGGCGCCAGCTCCAGTGTAACGCTTTCTCTCTCTGTTGGCTCTGGAGGAAGGTCCTTGTGATACATCAGTCTTCCTTTGGTCTGGGAGCACCTCAGAGAAGGAACCTCTGGTCCAAAGGACGCGCTCTGCTTCTGGCACTGCTTCTTGATGGTATGAGGTTCCCATGTGTCTCTGCTTTCTTCTCTTTTTTATATCTCAAAAGAGATTGGCTTAAGACACTATCTAATCTTGTAGACCTCATCAGTATAACTGCTAATCCATCTTATTACATCATAGTGATAGAGTTTACAACACATAGGGAAATCACATTGGATTACAAAATGGTAGACAATCATACAGTACTGGGAATCATGACCTAGCCAAGCTGACAGATATTTTTGGGGGACACAATTCAATCCATGACACACATGAAGGTCAAAAGGAAGAGTCTGGTCATGTTTTATGTAAATTTGAATTATGCCAATTTGAAATATGATTTATATATTAATCAAGTTTCAATTTATGCATAAAATTTTCAATAATGTCAATTGCCAGGTGTTC